CGTTGTAATATCTAAAGCTTGATTTAATTTTAATGATATGTTGATCAGCACGTACAATTTTCTTGTACTCGTTAATGTTAATCTCACGCACTTTGGAAAGGTAAAATGGTTTTATCGATATGATTAGGCTAATCTAGAAATTAATCTGGGCAGAATGCTTTTTATAATGCATGTAAGCACCTAAACTTGGTAAGTTCCTTAGTAAGATCATTAAGAATGAGGTCTGAAGTAGCACTGTTTATTTATATTTAAAACACATCCTTGAAATATTTTGTATTTGTTGTATTAAAGTATTGATAGCTAACTGTTGATGTATTGTTCACATTCAGCCTAACTTTATATGACGTCACATTTTATGTATGTCATAAAATCACAGTGAGTGGATCATAATGGTGAATGACTTGGGCATGCAAGCTTGGGGTGAAGACATAATGGTGATGGCACACACCTTAGTGTGTTGTGAATTCTGTAATGAATGTATTGTAATGTTTTTAAAATTGTATAACTGCCTTAATTTTGCCAGACCCCAAGAAGAGTACCTTAGCAGCAGCCAATGGGGATCCATAATAAATACAAATTGCCATGGGGAAAGATGACCCATCACAATAATATCTGCTTCCATTGTGGTGTCATGTACATGCATCATAATGCCACAGATAGTTATACAAATCTTTAATAATGCTTTTGGGACAAACATCTGGCTCTATTAAACAGTTGTTGGAGGTAAAAGGTGTTCATCCCATAATAACAACTGCATATCTCATGGCCCTATGGCAAGCTGCCCTGTTTCTCCCAACTGCTAAACTAACCCTCAAATCCTTTCAAACAAAGCAAGGTTTCTAATTAATATAACAATCACAATGCTTTGGAGTTGAGAATAGTAGCAGCATGTCCAGAGACCAAAAAGAGAAAATAACACATTTTGATTTGCAGTAGGGGTTATTGAGTTGCAGTTTCTCTGGTGTTGTATAACTGTCAGTCCTCAAAAATGACATTGTATTTAATTAAATTAATTATTTTCAATGATTTACCATGCGTGGGGGACCGCTTGTTATTATAAAACTGGGCATTCGACATTCACCACACCGGTGGTCCTGCATGGGGCAGCTAAATGCTGTGCCCTTTTACTGTGTACCGTCCTCACAGGGCGGATACACTCTAAAAATAAAAGGTTCCTGGAGTATCCTTTAGGGGTTCTTCAATTGAAACTGTGGGGGAACCCCTATAAGTTCTTAAAAGAACCCCTTTTAATGGATCCTCAAATAACCTTTTGAAGAACCTTTTGGGGTTAATTTTTGAACTATTCCCCCTCCCATTTTTACATTTTAGTCATTTAGCAGACGCTCTTATCCAGAGCGACTTACAGTTAGTGAGTGCATACATTTTCATACTGGTCCCCCGTGGGAATCGAACCCACAACCCTGGCGTTGCAAGCGCCATGCTCTACCAACTGAGCTACACGGGACTCCCCTATTATTATTATTAATAATAATACAGATAGCAATAACACAATATTTTAGTTGTCAGTGTTTATTATGATTTTTTTGGCAAAGCAGAATAAAATATCAAAATATGAGGTAAACTCCCAGCAGAGCCCCAAGTCCAATGGATATATCCCCTGGCATGTTGATGTTAGCGTGTTGATGTTAATGTGTTGATGTTTTCAGTATCCATAGCCAGAATGATTTTGAAATGCATGGTGATCGAACAGGTTTCCTGTTATATTCATCAGAGGTGTAGGGAGGGTGAAGTCTGTGAATCCCAAAAATTGTAATTATACAGATGTTTAACAGAACATGCACACAAAAGTATTCATACCTTGGTTTTTGTGGTAAATGTGAATAAAAAAAACTGTTTTGATAATGGTTTTCATACACATACCTTGTCCATAATGTAGAGGCCTATGGGATTTTCATTGAAGAGGTAAGGGAGGAGGATGGTACATGTGATCTGCATAACATACCAATACCAACTGACATTCCTTTGTATGCCTCCTCGTCTTTATACCTGCAGACACAAAAGTGAGCAGTTCAGTCATCTGCACCCAATACAGCTAGCCTTCAACATATTCTTATAGCCTACATATTCTTACCTCTTCGATGATTGATATCCATGGAATTGTGTCCATTTTCTGTTTTAGAAAGATTTGCACAAATATGAAAAGATAGATGGTATCATCATCAAACAATATGAATTTAGATCATATAAGGGACCTTAAATTGAGATCTTTACATTTTTCAGTTAAGTGTCTGCACCTGCTGTCCTTTCTTATTCAAATCCAAATGTTTCAGTTGGGCAGTTAGGTTCCTGCAAGAACCCCCACCAACAAAGGAGGTTCCTCGATGAACCCCACCACCTATTGGGTTCTTGGAAGAACCATTTGGGGCCAATTTTCAGTGCCAAGAACCCTAAGGTTCTTCAAAGAACTTTGAGGATCTTAGAAGAACCCTGGTTGAAGCCCTAATTTTTAGAGTGTACATACAGCACCCTTGACTCTGCATGCTTTCGTCACACGCAGTAGTGTAAAGTACTGAAGTAAAAATACTTAAAGGTATTACTTAAGTAACAACTTTTACTTTTACTCCACTACATTCCTAAAGACAATAATGTACTTTTTACTCAATACATTTTCCCCTGACACCCAGAATTACTCGTTACATTTCGAACACTTAGCAGGACAGGAAAATAGTCAAATTCATGCACTTGTCAAGAGCCGTTCCTACTACTTCTGATCTGGCGGACTAACTAAACACAAATGCTTCATTTGTAAATGACGTCTGAGTGTTGGAATGTGCCCCTGGCTTTCCGTAAATAAAAAATAACAAAACCAAGGAAATCGTGTTGTCTGGTTTGCTTAATATAAGGAATGTGAAATTATTTATATTTATACATGAGGGGTTCTACACTCCAGGGCTCCGACCCGCACACCTCAAGTTAGAACGTGTTCACCTGCAGTCTCAAGTAGATGCAAGTTGTGTAATGACGGACTCCCACAAGTGTTGTGCGTCCCTCAAACATAACTTGCATCTACTTGAGACTGCAGGTGAACATGCTCTAACTTGAGGTGTGCGGGTCGGACCACTGGAGTGCTTCCCAGCGCCCTGATTGGTTGGTACTGAGAAAGGTGATTGGCATTAGCACATAGTATTTTATTTTCAACCAAATAACGTTAGCTATAAGCCACAGAAAATGGCAAAACTGATTATGACTTGCGTCTTCCACGCATGTAGCCGAGTCCATCTGCAGAGGTGCACACATCCAGGTGGGACATCCATGAAGATATAGACCTGAAAAACAAATTAGTTCTTAGAAGAGCCTAGTGGCATGACACATAGAATGAGGCAAACTGAATGTTGTGTCGGGTATAACTGATATTACCCAATAAAATAAAATAAAAAACACAACAGATAAACACATTTTTGATTTGCAGGAAGGGGGAATTGCATTGAATCAAATTACTAATTTCCAATGATTTATCGCCCGTAAGTGCTGTTTACCGTAAGCCACTTAACTGCGGGGGAATCTCCTACAATTTTCAGATTTTCTTCATTTAAACGCAAATATTCCGCTGTGTTTTTGTGTTGGGAATGTTTCAGTATTCCCTGGGATACCGTGCTGTCACAATGCGTATGATGTAGGCCTATGCATTTGTAGGACAATTTGGAAACTGTAGAATGACTACATTCCCCATAATGCTAATTGACTAAACGTTCAAAATTACCATGGCAATTAGGCTATGCATCACAATAGTAATTATATTTCTATGGTGAAAGCGGGCCTTCTATAATGTAAGGGAGGCAGTAACTGCAACCAAATTATTTTACTGTGCTGGGTCACACACAGACTTATGGTCACACAAGGTGGACCCACCTGTGGATAGCCTTACAATTATTTACATGACCCCAATTGCATTTGCAAGCAAATTATTTGTCTGTGCACATTCAATATTCACTCATATGGTGACATTTTTTAAGGTTATTGAGTTGAAGATTGTGGTTGTATTCCTCAAAGATAAAATTGTATTGAATTGAATTAATCAGATGCAATGATTTATCGCCCGTAGGGCGGGGTGTCACTAGTCATTTGTAATACTGTATAACATCAAACAGAATAGCTGGTCTCATGAAAGGTGGTAATGCTTGAAACCAGAAAGACTCTTCAGCAAGAGCGTAAATTAAAAAAGAACCAGAGCAGCAGGGTCACTAGGTGACCAGTGGTCACCGCTAGCATCCAGCTCTGTCACCATGCAAAAAAACAACATGTGGTGTCCCCAGCCAGAATAACATGAAGTAGACAGGGCGCCTGACCAGCTGGAGACATGGGGATGAAATGGTCAATTACTGTACAGTACTTTACGGGTGTTTAAACAAAACTGACTTTTGAAGCATGTATTGGCCTAATAATAATAATAATATGCCATTTAGCAGACGCTTTTATCCAAAGCGACTTACAGTCATGCGTGCATAATTTTTTTTGTGTATGGGTGGTCCCGGGGATCGAACCCACTACCTTGGCGTTACAAGCGCCGTGCTCTACCAGCTGAGCTACAGAGGACCACACTTGCCTACTTACCAGGGCAGTGCCATCTCCTGCTGGGTCCAAGGGTCAGGTAGCCCCATGGGTGGGAAGCCTCCCACTCATCCACCCAAGAGAAGCACAATCTCATTCTAAATGCTTCTAATGATCTCCCTGGCCTGGAGGGGCTCCGAGTGTCTCCTCTCCACCCCTGGTGCCCCCAGACAATAAGTCTCTCTCGGTCTCCTCGGGCCCTAAACGTCTCCTCGATCAGACTCTTACTCCATCCTTTTTGGTCGTCCAATTCATCGTCTTCTCTCCATCCTTTTCTTTTTGCTCTATGGGCAAGACGTTGCGCCCTTGCTTGTTGAAACAACATTGAGCACACTTTTACCAATACTGAAAAAGACAGCCCTGCAGAATGTTAATCGTCCTTAAAACCCAACCTTTATGCAGATAACTTGATGAACTAACAAAACAAAGGATCACGGTTTGAGACAACATTTATTAAGTCATAATTATATTGACAAGAGTAATTTTGAAGACCAATACAGCATTTTCACTATGAAAAGATAGAGCTCAGCAATCATTTTGGAAGAGTTTTGTTTATGAACATCCACCCAGAAGCAGGGCCACCAGAATCCTGGATCCAACCACCATGAAAAAGTCTAACCCAAGTACAGTGGCTACTGCAGGTCCCTTGAATATCCTTAGTCACAGCATGTTTGAGACAGATTTTCATGGTAAAAACAGATACACCCAAAACATTTATTAGCCTACTGATTAAAATGCAAATGTTTTGGATTCCTCTTACAGAGATTGGTTGAACCCAGACTACACCATGTATGCAACCAATTCATAGCCTTCTTTGGTTCCTAAATGTATACGCATAATGTGCAAATTATTATTATTTGACGAGTAGCAAACCTCGATTGAAGCTTAACATGTTGTGCCTGGTAGTAACATTATCCAGGCATAAAACAGTAGACCATTTTACAGTCTAGAATGTGACATCTTTAAAATGCTGGAATGTCTTGGAATGGTTTTCATGGAGTCTTGGAGACACTAATATGGTCATGTGCAGTTTGAGGCAGTGTTCAACGAGACAGCTCTACTTGGGGAAGACTGTGACCACGTCATAGCCTTCGGGTGGAGTCACTCGCTCACGTGCGTGTTTCTCGCAGTAGATCTGGTCCTCCACGAAGAAATGTCCCTTCTGTTTCAGGTTGATGTCACAATTGGAGCAGGTGTAGCACTCGGGGTGACGAAACTTGTCCCGCAACTTGACAACCATCCCTCTGAGTTTGGGAAAGAAGAGATCACAAACTAAATGGTTAGGTCAAATTAATAAATAAATGATTAAAAAAAATCTTATGAAAACCCTCTTCATAATGCATTATTTGCCCAGTTATAATGCTTCATGAGCATGCGTAATACACTATAATGCATTACATAGATATTTATGAGCACCTATTAGCTCCTAATAACATTCACAAAGCATTATGCGCAGGCAACATAATATCCCATGTAGCAAAGTCTTATAATGGCCAATATGAAATGCTCATTGGAAATGAGGGGGTTCGACAATCATGTTTGGTGTGCAAGGCAGAGTTACATGTGTGACAGTGTGCGCAGGGGAATTTGAATATACCCCTTGACGAGAACTTAAGATTTCCTAATGAGCTTTGCACATAGGGCATAACTCTTCATAAGCCATTTTACAGCCTTTGTCATAATGCTCTATGAATGTAGTCAGATGTTTCTAAGCAGTTATTAAGGCCTATGTAGTGCCTTGTAATGCATAGAGCATAAGGAGGTATACATTATGAAGAGGGTATGAAATGTTATATCTAAAATGTTAGACAAAAATGGTCTAAAATACATTCTAAAAACAGAGACAACCATTTCTGCCTTTGTAGGAAGATAGTAAGACAATTAGATGAGTAAGACAATTAGAAACTGAGATGTCGTTTTTCCACACACACCTCTAGCACTGTTCCATCTTCTCTTATCATGATAGACAAAACAGCTAATCTTGCCACCCAATCCACCGTGGAGGTCTCACAGTAGGCATGTCCAAGCACCCTTAGAGCGTCTCTTAAAGGGCAACTCCACCACTTTTCAACCTAATTTTAATTATCTCCAGCACAACACCAGTGTCTACATATGCCACAGGAGGTTGGTGGCACCTTAATTGGGGAGGACAGGCTTGTGGTAATGGCTGGAGCGGAATATGTGGAATGGTATCAAATACGTCAAACACATGGTTTCCACGTGTTTGCAATTCCATTTGCTCCGTTCCAGCCATTATTATGAGCTATCCTCCCCTCAGAAGCCTCCACTGAAATGTATGAATACGGCGCAGTTCTACGTTTTGTATACTTTTTTTTGTAAAAAAGTTATACCCGAAGAAATCATCAAAAGTTCAAACATTTTAAAACAGTGATTTTCAAAACAGATTTGCGGTGACATGGGGAGTAAGAACACACCCTCCCTCTGGCTAGAAACTCGTTGCAGATTTTGAAAATCACAATTTCTTACTTTTAATCCTATCCTGTGAGAAGCATTTCTCAGGACCTTTATCTTTTCAACCACAGATCATAGAAAAATGCTGTTTTCACATATATAGACACTGGTTTGGTGCTGTAGATAATGAATAGGAGGTTGAAATGTGGCAGAATTGCCCTTTAAGTCTTAACACATTATAACCGAGTGTTAACAACCCCTGAAGTGCACAGCTGTTGGCGGCATGCTCACAGCATGGCTGTATATCAGCCAACTGAATTGATATGTGACACAAAACCCTTCTCCTGTGACATTCCAGAAAAAAAAACTTGGGAGACAAATACCAGTGACAAAAAAGACTAAGATACAGTATTTCATCTTAGTGTAGCAACTGAGGCTGAGTTTAAAGAGCCATCCTAAGAACCCAATTCAGATATTTCTTTCTGACTGTCCACACTCAGTTTTTCACGTGACTAGGGTTGCGAAGATACTGATAATTTACAAAAGTTACCGGAATCTTCAGTAATTAACAGGTAATATATGACAATCTATAGTAACTTTGGTAATTTATACTTGAATAACTTTCAAAAAATGTATTCATATATAGTATTCTTTGTTTATAGCCGTGCCAATGTAGTTAATTCGTTTCTAGTGGATAGACCATTTGGTTCAAGAGAAAATAGCCTAAATAATGAAAAAAGCATCTTCAGCAAATATATTATTTTCAATTAACTCTGCAACTCTTCCAACTATTGACTTTCTTCCCAACTGCCACCAGTTTGGTGCCAAAATATTTACAACAAAGACATATTGACATAGTAAAATAAATAAGTGTAAAAAAACAATATAAATGATATTTCATGCTGAAACCCTCATATTAAACACAAATGGTATTCACTAAGTTGGTTTGTATTTAGGCTAATGTTTTACAGCTTTGTCATTACCTTTTACATGTGATAAGGCCACACAGAGGGCCAGAGATAATTACAAAACAACTGTGATAATCTGAAGCACCAAAAAAGGCCACTAGATACCCCCCAAAAAACGTGAAAAGTTACCAAGAATTCTGGTAGTTTACTGGTAAACGTCAAAGGTTTTCAGTAATACACCCTCCCTTTGCAATTCTACATGTGACCCATATCAGATTGCCGCATTCACACTGATGTAGCCTCTGAAACAGCACACAGATGCAATGCTAATTTCCGGTCACTGTTCCACCTGGATGCCTCTTACGGTTGTTTAGCTCAATGTAAATGTATCACATTCTGCACGTGTTACTTTACACACACATTACCTATCAGTCAATTTGATCGACATGAAGATGTACGACTCTGTCTCATATTTCTGAACAAATTAAATAAAAACCCAGCGAAGATTTGAACAAATATTCCCCCCCAAAATATGTATTTTGTAGGCCAATGTGGACAAGGTAGCTTCAACCTTCTCGGTCTGTTGTAACTAGGATATTAAAGCAGCACAAACATAAGCAGGATGCAGTCTACACATTGCATTGGGGCAAAACAATCTGCCTTTTAACCATCAATAACATACAACTGATATTTCACTTCTCAATGATCATGCAACGCCGTATGATTTGATGGACAGCACATAAAATTCACCAGAGTAGCCCGTCTGTGTCCTGTTATGTTTGATATGCTGCCTAGATAGCTGCATGTAACTCCCAACCTGAAAAAATTACATTAAATTGCTACTTCAACTGCCTTTCGGTGTCCTGCTTACGTTTGTAACGGCCTACTGTTACAACTGACAAAGAAGTTTGTAGTACAACATGTCGAAGTTTGTAGACAAAGACATTTGATCATCGCCGCAGGAGGAAGGAGGGGAAAGCGGCAGTGGAGGGAGCAGCAACGAGGTAAATAAATGTGTGCGTGAGGTAGAGAATCCCACACATGCACAGAAGGTAAGATTGTTTAGCTTTCGAAAAGAGGCGTCCAGGAAATTCAGCCACCGTTGAATTTTTGGAAGCTTGTCATGTTAATGGCAGGTCATGTGCAAAACAACACTTCAGAGCAAAGAAATCAGATCTGATCATCCAGATTGAGGTCGCATATGAAACATCTTAATTGTATCAGGATTGAGAACCACATATAAAAATGTGGAATACATCAGAACTCAAAAGATCAGATTCCATGTGTTTTTTGCTGTTTACACTTTCTGGAAAACATATTATAGGTATCAAATAAGCCATCCGAATTGGGCTGTATTCATGAAGCATCTCAGAGTAGGCGTGGATCTCCTCGTCAAATCACTGTGAGCAAAATGCAAAGTTTACAATATTATCATGAGATCACGACTGTTTGAATAATCATATGCTGTACTTACACAATCCCTGATCCACATTTCTCACAGATTGGTAACTTGTGCGCATTTCCCACTGTTGAGACGATTTTTGCGGCGGGTGCCTTCACACTCCTAAACCCAGAGGGCTTATCAGGATCTGCAATCAAGAGGAGACAAGCCATCATGGTTTGTTAAGCCACTTACCAATTGCCATTAAATATTTGGAAAACCCTGGAAAATATGGCAAAGGCTTTTCGTGTCACACAGAGATACAATACATTGTGTCACCAGTCTGTTACCAACTATAGAATCAAAATGATCGTTTAAACCAGGGGTGTCAAACGTCCGGCCCGCGGGCCGAATCAGGCCCGCAAACGGGTTTAATCCGGCCCGCGAGATGATTGTGAATTTTTTTTTTTTTAATAATAATTTTGTAAAGTATAAAAATGCGCTGCAATTTTTCAATAAAATAAACTGCTGTTCCAATTGCGTCCACTGGATGGCGCAATAGCAATTGTGTTAAGCAAGCAAACTGTTTATACCGGGGCAGAGCAAGTAGGTCAAGCACGTGCAGCCAATGAGCTACTTTGTTTTGCCCGCGATATTTATTACGGCTTCTACTTTTAACATTATGTGCTTTGGCACCCTCATTGCCCCAATATGTCTCTGTCAAAAAAGAGAAAAGTGGACGCAGAGTGCAGAGTGTTCCAAGAAAAATTGTCATCCTATTTATTCACGGAATTGAATGGGAAAGCTGTATGTTTGGTGTGTTCAGAGCATGTTGCAGTGCTGAAAGAATATAACCTTCGTCGCCACTATGCGAGTCTTCATGCCGACAAATATGACAACTTTCAAGGACAGCGGAGATGAGAGAAGGTGAATGAACTGTTGGCGGGTCTGAAGAAACAGCAGTCTGTGTTTACTCACAGCCGAGACATCAGTGACGCTGCAGTGAAAGCTAGCTACCTCATTGCTAATGAAATCGCAGTGGCTTCAAAACCATTTAGTGAGGGTGAATTTGTAAAAACATGCATGATGAAGGCAGCGGAGATTGTGTGCCCTGAAAAGCTGCAGGCTTTTGCAAATATCAGCCTGACAAGAAACACAGTTGCAGACAGGATTTCCGATCTTTCAGTGGATTTGGACAGCCAGTTGAAGCAAAAAGTAAAGTCATTTATTGCGTTTTCGGTTGCAATTGATGAAAGCACGGACATTACAGATGTTGCACAACTGGCCATTTTCATCCGCGGAGTTGATGACACATTGTGTCATCAACTCAAGCAACACTGAAGCATGCATGAGAGCACCAGCTGTTCCGGATGACTATGTGATCACGCTCTCCGTAGCCGATGTGAGTAAGACTTTTAAGCAGGTCAACATTCACAAGGCCGCAGGGCCAGACGGATTACCAGGACGTGTACTCCGAGCATGTGCTGACCAACTGGCAAGTGTCTTCACTGACATTTTCAACATGTCCCTGACTGAGTCTGTAATACCAACATGTTTCAAGCAGACCACCATAGTCCCCGTGCCCAAGAACTCTAAGATAACCTGCCTAAATGACTACCGACCCGTAGCACTGACGTCTGTAGCCATGAAGTGCTTTGAAAGACTGGTCATGGCTCACATCAACAGCATAATCCCAGAAACCCTAGACCCACTCCAATTTGCATACCGCCCCAACAGATCCACAGATGATGCAATCTCTATCGCACTCCACACTGCCCTTTCCCACCTGGACAAGAGGAACACCTACGTGAGAATGCTATTCATTGACTACAGCTCAGCATTCAACACCATAGTGCCCTCTAAGCTCATCACTAAGCTAAGGATCCTGGGACTAAACACCTCCCTCTGCAACTGGATCCTGGACTTCCTGACGGGCCGCCCCCAGGTGGTAAGGGTAGGTAACAACACATCTGCCACACTGATCCTCAACACGGGGGCCCCTCAGGGGTGCGTGCTCAGTCCCCTCCTGTACTCTCTGTTCACCCATGACTGCATGGCCAGGCACGACTCCAACACCATCATTAAGTTTGCCGACGACACAACAGTGGTAGGCCTGATCACCGACAACGATGAGACAGCCTATAGGGAGGAGGTCAGAGATCTGGCCGTGTGGTGCCAGGACAACAACCTCTCCCTCAACGTGACCAAGACAAAGGAGATGATTGTGGACTACAGGAAAAAAAAGAGGACTGAGCACGCCCCCATTCTCATCGACGGGGCTGTAGTGGAACAGGTTGAGAGCTTCAAGTTCCTTGGTGTCCACATCACCAACGAACTATCATGGTCCAAACACACCAAGACAGTCGTGAAGAGGGCACGACAAAGCCTATTCCCCCTCAGGAGACTAAAAAGATTTGGCATGGGTCCTCAGATCCTCAAAAAATTCTACAGCTGCACCATCGAGAGCATCCTGACTGGTTGCATCACCGCCTGGTATGGCAACTGCTTGGCCTCTGACCGCAAGGCACTACAGAGGGTAGTGCGTACGGCCCAGTACATCACTGGGGCAAAGCTCCCTGCCATCCAGGACCTCTATACCAGGCGGTGTCAGAGGAAGGCCCTCAAAATTGTCAAAGACTCCAGCCACCCTAGTCATAGACTGTTCTCTCTGCTACCGCACGGCAAGCGGTACCGGAGTGCCAAGTCTAGGTCCAAAAGACTTCTCAACAGCTTCTACCCCCAAGCCATAAGACTCCTGAACAGCTAATCATGGCTACCCGGACTATTTGCACTGCCCCCCCACCCCATCCTTTTTACGCTGCTGCTACTCTGTTAAGTATTTATGCATAGTCACTTTAACTCTACCCACATGTACATATTACCTCAACTACCTCAACTAGCCGGTGCCCCCGCACATTGACTCTGCAACGGTACCCCCCTGTATATATAGCCTCCCTACTGTCACTTTATTTTACTGTATATATAGCCTCCCTACTGTCACTTTATTTTACTTCTGCTCTTTTTTTCTCAACACTTTTTGTTGTTGTTGTTTTATTCTTACTTTTTTTGTTTAAAATAAATGCACTGTTGGTTAAGGGCTGTAAGTAAGCATTTCACTGTAATGTCTGCACCTGTTGTATTCGGCGCATGTGACCAATAAAATTTGATTTGATTTTGATTTGACATTGACCGTCACCGAGGAGTTCGTGGAGTTGGTGCCGATGACAGATACAACAACAGCAGCTGATATTTTTACCGCACTCGTCGGCGCGCTGGACAGGGTCGGAGTGGACTGGTCCCGCGCTGTCAGTCTGGCTACAGATGGTGCGCCCTCAATGATCGGGAAAAAAGCAGGCGTTGTGACAAAGTTCAGAGAGAAAGTGCAATCTGCAAATGGAGGACGTGATTTTTTGACTTTTCACTGTATTTTGCACCAGGAGGCTTTGTGTTGCAAGTCATTAAAGATGGATAACGTCATGAAGGTGGTCATCCAAACTGTTAATTTCATCCGATCCAGAAGCCTGAATCACCGTCAGTTTGACAGCCTTCTCAGAGAGAAAGACCACATCTATGGCCTGCCATACCACACTGAGGTAAGATGGTTAAGCCGAGGTGCTGTGCTGAGGCGTTTCTTTGATTTACGAGAAGAAATTGAACAGTTCATGGAAGAAAAGGGCAAACCAGTGTTAGAATTTCATTCCGCAGAATGGATGCAGGACCTTGCATTTATGGTGGATGTTACAGAGCACCTGAATAACTTGAACAAACAGCTGCAAGGGCGCAACAAAGTTGTCACGCAGTATTATGACAGCATACGTTCTTTCAAGTTGAAGCTGTCATTGTGGGAGACGCAACTTGCCGGTGGTGATGCAGCTCACTTCCCCTGTCTGAAAAATGTGTGCGCGACCCAACATGTGGCAGACATGAAGCGGTTCAAAGATAAAATAACGGGACTGTTACGGGAGTTTGAGCAACGCTTTCAGATTTATGTTTATATGTTTTTATGTTGATGTGCTATTGTTTTTAATTGTTTTTATTTTATTTGTATATTTAACCTATTCTTGACTCTGTGGTACTTGCACTTGTTTGGGGAACAGGATTTCATTATTTTTATCTACATTTCTGCCTGAGAAATGACACCCTGATATAGTTCTGTGATCTGTGAAACAGTTCTGTTAATCACTGAGGCATTGTGTGTTTGTGTGTTCTTTTTCTTTAGAATTTTCAAATAAACTTGACGTGTTTTATGATTAATAGTGATGTTGTGCTTGTACTATTTTGGACACACTGTCCTCAGGCTCCAGCTTTATGTTGTATGTTGATCGTATTAAAACAAAGAAAACAATCTGAAGTTGTTGTTTTTAAGTTATATATATATATACACACACCATGATTTTTCCGGTCCGGCCCACTTGGGAATAGATTTTCCTCCATGTGGCCCCTGAGCTAAAATGAGTTTGACACCCCTGGTTTAAACACTACTTAGCTCAACCAAATCTATTCAAGAACAATTGCCAATTACATAATGTTAAAACTCCAAACATTACATGACAAAGTTATAACCCAATTTGACAATGCGAAACAAAAGTGCTAGTGTCTCTAAAATTGTGCAACATCATTGCAACGGTGGCAATACGTTATGCAGGGTTATAATCCAACCCAATTGATACGCAATCCATGTGATGCAACCCAAAATGGTTGCATTTCAAACCCATTTTGAAGTAAATGCCACATTGCTTAAACACTATATAAATATCAGCTGCATATATACAGTGCTGTGAAAAAGTATTTGCCCCTTTCTAATTTTCTCTACTTTTGCATATTTGTGATACTGAATGTTATCAGACCTTCATCCAAAACCTAATATTAGATAAAGGGAACATAAGAGAACAAATAACACAACAATGACATATTTATTTCATTTACCATCACACCACCACCACCACCATGCTTGACCTTTGGTGGTGTGATGGTTTGGGGATGCTTTGCTGCCTCAGGACCTGGACGACTTGCCTTAATAGAAGGAACCATGAATTCTGCTCTGTATCAGAGAATTCTACAGGAGAATGTCAGACCATCCGTCTGTGAGCTGAAGCTGAACTGCAGCTGGGTCATGCAGCAAGACAATGATCCAAAACACACAATCAAGTCTACATGAAAATTACTAAAAAGTAACAAATTGGAAGTTTTGGAATGGCCTAGTCAAAGTCCAGACCTAATCCCAATTGAGATGTTGTGGCAGGACTTGAAACGAGCCGTTCATGTTTGAAAACCCACATGTCACTGAGTTAAAGCAGTTCTGCATGGAAGAGTGGGCCAAAATTCCTCCACAGCGACGTGAGAGACTGATCAACAACTACAGGAAGCATTTGGTTGGAGTCATTGCAGCTAAAGGTGGCACAACCAATTGAGTGTAAGGGGGCAATTACTTTTTCACACAGGGGAATTGGGTGTTGCATTACTTTGTTTATGAAATAAATATGTAATTGTTGTGTTATTTGTTCACTTATGTTCCCTTTATCTAATATTAGGTTTTGGTTGAAGATCTGATAACATTCAGTATCACAAATATGCAAAAGTAGAGAAAATTAGAAAGGGGGCAAATACTTTTTCACAGCACTGTATGTGTGAATAAGTACCTGACTCCAGAATCTCCTGCAGCACTTTGAATGAAGCTGACTGTCGAGGAGGCTCATTAGCCTCTTGGTTTTCCTGCAGCATTTTGTAGACCTCCGAGTCTGCCACTATTGGGCTGAAAAACAAATGAACACACTTCAAATCAATACTAGTTTACATACAATGAGTCATATAGTACAAAGGCGTAGTCAAATCAAGGACAAACCAATTATAGTGATAGGGCCTTACACATTGCTATGTTTCCTTGGGCCACCACTGAGTTTGACTTGTAACAAACACATACTGTAAGCATTTAACAAGTGAAAATGCAGTACATTCTGCGATAGTAAGCCACGTCGTAAATTTCAGAATGATACCCAGCGAGTAAAATTGGTTGCAATGACATTATTACAACCAGCTGGGATAGATCCTTACATGGTGCTGGGCTCGTTAGCAGCAGTGGCAATGGTTTTCACGTCATCCACGGCCGTGTTAAAGTCCTTGATGTTCTCGGAGGAGTACAGACCGGCAGGGTTGTTGTACTGATTGGTTACCACATTGGGGCCAAACCCAGCGAATGGCAGGGCGCTCCTGTTGTGGGCGGAACCTATGGGTTTCACCTCCTGCAAGTTGGGTGTAGCCAGGGATAAAGAAAGTAATGAGTACAGGACAAAATCATAGAACTATTTTCAACGGCATCTCTCACACACATGCCTTGATAGAAACAGTATGACAGTTGCTTGACTAATTTGTGAATATTAGAGGTAAAGAATAGCATCGTCAAAAGGTTATTTGGGTACCTCCTTCATAATAGCCGGTAAAAAAGGGGCTGCCCGAAACAAAATACGGTGACATGCAAGCACACCATTAATGTACACAGTCAATGAAATGACTAAATACCTTCAAATCTGGCTCATGCTCCGTGCATATTTTCACAAAGACATAACAAAAAAAAACTGCCGCTCCAGGCTGTGGCTCCACACGACAAATGCATTTGTTGGATTCATTAACAGCGAAAGTGAAAAAAATCATTTAAAACAGTGTGTATGCGTAAAACATATATATTTTCTAGAAATTCTGTGACCAAAATGCACTATGTTCGCGACACATCCCTGAAAGCTGTGGAGGACTGACAAATCACACACTTCCTACATTAAATTCACACTTTGGCCTCAATTTTCCATTCACTATGCAGGAACTGAGTCTTGCGTCAGAGCTTGGCTGATAACGCCATGGTCTCCTAGGATATCTCCTGTTGGGAAGTAAACAATGACTTCATCGTTGGCAGTATCACAACCCAAGCCTTTGTTTGTGCAGTGGGGATGTGAAAGGTTGCAGATACTGGATAATTTCCTTTCTGTGAGTATGGGATTTTCCAGTTAATATGCCATGACAGAGCAGGGACATACCTCTAAGTCAACGTATGAATGCCTCATTTCCTAATGATATCTTTGGTCTGAGTGAAGTAGGATACAAGACAGACACACCTGGGGCTCAGATGCAAGATTCATCTTGTAAGGGTTGGTCTTTCCATCCTCCGAAGAGAGCGGTGACCAGATTTTAGTTTCTGATCTAAAAAGACAGTCAGACAATATACAGACTTGCAATTAAAAAACATTCAGTCTTGCAATAAAACAGTTTTCAGACATGCAATAAACATTAAAGATGTGTGTACGGAGCAGGCCTCAAACCTGTTGATGGGACCACAACCATTTCTAAAGAACATATTTTATAGGGGCAATCTGCAGTTCAAACAATAACAAAGCAACACCCCACCACCGTTTTGGTAAAAAGCCACACCCCACCACCGTTTTGGTAAAAAGCCAAAGGGATGGGGCTGGGAGAAATGTAACCACTCTTAAATTAAGACAGCGCTATGAATGCAAGGACTGTCCATCCATGATATCAATTTCCAACATTTAACCATATTTTGAGGCTATACAGTTTTTACAATTACATCATTTACAAACAAAGGAGTAAAACAAGCTTATATTTTGTGTTCTGGGGGGGTTACAGTAGATCTAAGCTCATGAGGCACTTATAAGTTATATTCTTCAAGAATCAATGGCTATATATCATTAACTTAAAAGTCCAAAAATGGATGTAGAAACACAGATTGCCCCTTTAAGGAAAGCACCACTCACAACAACTGTCCTGCCATGATATCACACATACGTCAAGTTGGTACATCAACATTTGGATAAGAGCGTCTGCTAAATGACTAAAATGTCAAATGTAAATGTAGACTGCTGGCAGGCTTCGGCACAGCAAAGTCAAGTTAGCCTGTGCTCATGGTTCTCACAGGGGAAGTGAATGACATTGCTCATGATCATGCACACCGCAAATGACATGTAACTAACTATACAACACATTCGGAAAGTATTCAGACCCCTTGACTTTTTTTACATTTTGTTACGTTATAGCCTTATTCTAAAATGGATGTAAAAACATGTTTTACTCATCAATCTACACACAATACCCCATAATGACAAAGCAAAAATATATTAAGAAATGTTTGCAAATGTATTATAAGTAAAAAAAACAGAAATATCACATTTACTTAAGTATTCAGAGCCTTTACTCAGTACTTTGTTGAAGCAACTTTGGCAGCGATTGCAGCCTCGAGTCTTCTTGGGTATGACACAACAAGCTTGGCACATCTGTATTTGGGGAGTTTCTTCCATTCTTCTCTGCAGATCCTCTCGAGCTCTGTCAGGTTGGATGGGGAGCGTCGCTGCACAGCTATTTTCAGGTCTCTCCAGAGATGTTACATCGGGTTCAAGTCTGGGCTCTGGCTGGGCCACTCAAGGACATTCAGAGACTTGTCCCGAAGCTACTCCTGCGTTGTCTTGCTGTGTGCTTAGGGTCGTTGTCCTGTTGGAAGGTGAACCTTTGCCCCAGTCTGAGGTCCTGAGCGCTCATGAAGGATCTCTCTGTACTTTGCTTCGTACATCTTTCCCTTGATCCTAACTAGTATCCCAGTCCCTGCCGCTGAAAAACATCCCCACAGCATGATGCTGCAACCACCATGCTTCACCGTAGGGATGGTGCCAGGTTTCCTCCAGATGTGACGCTTGGCATTCAGGCCAAAGTGTTAAATCTTGGTTTCATCAGACCTGAGAATCTTGTTTCTCATGGTCTGAGAGTCCTTCAGGTGCATTTTGGCAAACTCCAAGCGGGCTGTCATGTGCCTTTTACTGAGGACTGGCTTACACATACATATTGGATGGATTATGATGATTTTCAGGAGGAAAAAAAAGCAGAGGTGCAAAAATATAAAAGTTTTGCTCCATGGTGGACACAAGGCTGTTTGGCTCATCTCTGTCACCAAGAATAATACATTTTCAGCTGTTTCTGATTAATAAACAATGCCATGCTGGTGTGTGGTAACATTCAAATAAAACCCAGCCCTGAAACAAAACGTTGGCTGAAAATAATTTGTATGTCATATTACAGGAAAAGTCACCGCATTCACACAGATTTATATGAAGTGGGCAGTTCGGATTTATCACTTCAAGCCCAAATATGTCATACTTTGACTAAAACAATGATTTATCGACTTAAATTGTTGTGCAACATCATGGGTAAGCTCTGGCCATAGTCTTTCAGCTCGAACAAGTGGATTTCTACTGGTGTGGGCGTTTAACCTCAGACATAAACAAATCCAAGACTTCCTTCCCCCACCCCCTTAACCATTTGAACCATACAATTTAGTATCCCTTCCATATAACCACATCAGGTGTCAGAGATACTGTACTTGTGCTGGATTGTTTCATAACTCAGTGCTTTTTGAACCCATTTGAGTCTATGGAAAACTGCAACTCCCTACCTGTCGATGGAGAGGACCATTTCCTCTAAGCAGCCCTTGATCTTGTTCTGTGCCTGCAGGTGAGTCATGCTCTCAGTGTGCTCTCCATCTATGGCCAGGATCTGATCCCCGACACACAGATTGGCCTGGGCAGCCTTACTGCCCGGAGTGACCTGAAATATTCAGTACATCATCAACATACTAAACGTTCTTATCAAATTTGGGACCTAGTAATCTGGGATTCATCTATGACATTTCAGGAGGACAAGGATCCTTTGGCAAAACTCTCGAGTGTCCCGTGGCAGGTTGTTATGTGGTAAATATGGGCGCAGTCTCAGTTGTCAGAATGGATTAGTAACACTAGAAAAGTATGATGGTGACTAAGCATTCAAAGGGATGTCTTCGAGAAACTTAACAAATAACAAGAATCGGTTTCACAAACACACTTAACAATATAGTTGGTGGTCAAAGATAAGAGTGTGAATAGCAGTCATTAAGTTGGTTACATCTAAAACACTTCATAATCCTTTGCACTGAAGCCCTCAATACACCTTGCCAATGATTCTTCAATATGTACTTCAGAGACAACAACGTTTAGGGCTAAACATTGTGGGCAAATGTTAGATTGGTGAAGACAGAGTGAAGTTCAGTGCCCCACCTATGACAATGTAGTCTCAAGGGATGTGATCTTGCCTACCCACAAAAGGTGCTGTACTGTAGGCCTAAGTCTGAGAAAATAACTTAAACTATATAATTGGTTGTTAATGCCCTCTAGATAAACTAAACAATAATGTATAGACCTATACAGGCTTGGATGGATGTATTGGCCAAACAATGGAAGATTGTCATCTAGAAATAGACTAGACCAATTCATGGACGACTTTAACAGTAGCACATGGTAGCACACTTTGCACAACACAAACTGTGAAGCTGGTTTCTCGGGAAAGGCCGTTCAGAGTAAATAAAGTTTTATTGAATGGCCATCTGTCACAATGATCCGAAAAGTAACTTTCTCCTGACCCTCAAGTGGCAATTCATTATTGGGGAGGTAACGAAAATAATGTTCTTTACAGCAGCGAGAACGAGCGCTTCCCCTCGCGCCTCACGGAAAGAGTGTGTTCGAGTCAGCAAGTGAAAGTTCTGCCACGGGAAAAGGCCAGATGCCGTTACATTGTAACAGTACATTATAAAGTGACAGATGATCTGAAACAACACTTACCCGCGAGATAGTCAAGGGTTGTTCAAAATCCTTCCCACCAACTAGACGGAATCCCCAAGGTCCAGGACCTTGCACGACAACTCGTTGAGGCATAGCCTACTTCCAAACTTGCCGAATCCGAGTTAAAAACGTATAATTCTTAGACAGCCTGTGTATGTCCTGACAGATATGACATGTGTGATCAAAGTGAACAAACTTCGATGAGGCTAGTTTGTAGCTAGAAGTTAAAGGGGCGGTTCCTGTTTCAAAGCTGAGCGAATGGTTTTTGATGTTTTCACTCCGATAAGATCGATTTCCTATGTTTGTTCAACCATTTACGGTTACGTCACCATGTTATATGCAAGCTTACCATTTATGGAAGACCCTAATCCCAGGATGTGGTATGTGCCGCTCCCAAAAATGGAATTCCTGCCTTTCGCTCCACTAAGTAGGCTACAGCCGACTAACTGAAACGTCCCGGTGTGTGTAGGCCTACATTCTCTACTTTTTAATTTGCATTGCAAAAACGAATTGTAAATAATAACAATGTGACAACAATTCCATTATAGGAGTTAGATAGGAGACAAGCAAATTAATGAAGGGCCTACACAGCCAACCTGGTGTCAGAGAATTTCTTCTTATTCTGTACGTAAATCCGTTACACTCCCTATGATATATTACACTTAGTATGGTATGTATTAATTTGTGATTACAATTGGTATGACGTTACCTATGTTACAAATTTGAAAAACGTACAATATGTTACGAATGTGCAAAATGTATGATATGTTACGAACTCCAATTTGTTGTTGCTAATGTTAGCTAGGAGGCTAATGCGAACATTAGCTAGGTGGCTAACATTAGCTAGGCTAGGGATTAGGTTTAGGGGTTAGGATTAAGGTTAGGATTTATGTTAAAGAGTTAAGGTTAGGGTTAGGGGAAGGGTTAGCTAACAAGCTAAGCAGTTGCAAAGTAGCTAAAAAGTAGTAAGCAGTTAAAAAGTTGCTAATTAGCTAAAATGCTAAAGTTGTCCGTGATGAGATTCGAACACGCAACCTTTGCATTATACGCTCACCCATCCACTCTGACCAACCACCCTCCTTTAGTTTTTGCCTTAAGGAACCTTCTGTCTTACACTACCGGTAAACATTTTTTGAACACCTACTCATTCAAGGGTATTTCTTTATTTTTTACTATTTTCTACATTGTAGGATAATAGTGAAGACATCACACTATGAAATAACACAAATGGAATCATGTAGTAACCAAAAAAGTGTTAAACAAATCAAAATATATTTTATATTTGAGATTCTTCAAATAGCCTTGATGACAGCTTTGCACACTCTTGGCATTCTCTCAACCCGCTTCACTTGGAATGCTTTTCCAGCAGTCTTGAAGGAGTTCCCACATATGCTGAGCACTTGTGGGATGCTTTTCCTTCACTCTGCAGTCCGACTCATCCCAAACCATCTCAATTTGGTTGAGGTCGGGGGATTGTGGAGGCCAGGTCATCTGATGCAGCACTCCATCACTCTCCTTCTTGGTAAAATAGCCCTTACACAGAGTGGAGGTATGTTGGCTCATTGTCCTCAAATCAAATCAAATGTTATTTGTCACATACACGTGTTTAGCAGATGTTATAGCGGGTGTAGCGAAATGCTTGTGCTTCTAGCTCCGACACTGCAGTAATATCCAACAAGTAATATCTAACAATTTCATATATACAGTGGGGGAAAAAAGTATTTAGTCAGCCACCAATTGTGCAAGTTCTCCCACTTAAAAAGATGAGAGAGGCCTGTACTTTTCATCATAGGTAGACGTCAACTATGACAGACAAATTGAGAAGAAAATATCAAGAAAATCACATTGTAGGATTTTGAATGAATTTATTTGCAAATAATGGTGGAAAATAAGTATTTGGTCACCTACAAACAAGCAAGATTTCTGGCTCTCACAGACCTGTAACTTCTTCTTTAAGAGGCTCCTCTGTCCTCCACTCATTACCTGTATTAATGGCACCTGTTTGAACTTGTTATCAGTATAAAAGACACCTGTCCACAACCTCAAACAGTCACACTCCAAACTCCACTATGGCCAAGACCAAAGAGCTGTCAAAGGACACCAGAAACAAAATTGTAGACCTGCACCAGGCTGGGAAGACTGAATCTGCAATAGGTAAGCAGCTTGGTTTGAAGAAATCAACTGTGGGAGCAATTATTAGGAAATGGAAGACATACAAGACTACTGATAATCTCCCTCGATCTGGGGCTCCACGCAAGATCTCACCCCGTGGGGTCAAAATGATCACAAGAACGGTGAGCAAAAATCCCAGAACCACACGGGGTGACCTAGTGAATGACCTGCAGAGAGCTGGGACCAAAGTAACAAAGCCTACCATCAGTAACACACTACGTCGCCAGGGACTCAAATCCTGCAGTGCCAGACGTGTCCCCCTGCTTAAGCCAGTACATGTCCAGGCTCGTCTGAAGTTTGCTAGAGTGCATTTGGATGATCCAGAAGAGGATTGGGAGAATGTCATATGGTCAGATGAAACCAAAATATAACTTTTTGGTAAAAACTCAACTCGTCGTGTTTGGAGGACAAAGAATGCTGAGTTGCATCCAAAGAACACCATACCTACTGTGAAGCATGGGGGTGGAAACATCATGCTTTGGGGCTGTTTTTCTGCAAAGGGACCAGGACGACTGATCCGTGTAAAGGAAAGAATGAATGGGGCCATGTATCGTGAGATTTTGAGTGAAAACCTCCTTCCATCAGCAAGGGCATTAAAGATGAAACGTGGCTGGGTCTTTCAGCATGACAATGATCCCAAACATACCACCCGGGCAACGAAGGAGTGGCTTCGTAAGAAGCATTTCAAGGTCCTGGAGTGGCCTAGCCGAGTTGAAAATCCGTGTTGCCCAGCGACAGCCCCAAAACATCACTGCTCTAGAGGAGATCTGCATGGAGGAATGGGCCAAAATACCAGCAACAGTGTGTGAAAACCTTGTGAAGACTTACAGAAAACGTTTGACCTGTGTCATTGCCAACAAAGGGTATATTACAAAGTATTGAGAAACTTTTGTTATTGACCAAATACTTATTTTCCACCATAATTTGCAAATACATTCATTAAAAATCCTACAATGTGATTTTCTGGATATTTTTTTTTCATTTTGTCTGTCATAGTTGACGTGTACCTATGATGAAAATGACAGGCCTCTCTCATCTTGTTAAGTGGGAGAACTTGCACAATTGGTGGCTGACTAAATACTTTTTTCCCCCACTGTATAACATATTCCCAATACACACACAACTATTAAGGAATGGGATTTAAGAATATATACATATATGGACAAGCAATGACAGAGCGGCATTGACTAACATACAGTAGAATATTATAGAATAGAATGCAGTATATACATATGAGATGAGTAGTGCAAGATATGTAAACATTATTAAAGTGACTAGTGTTCCATTTCTTAAAGTGGCCAGTGATTTCAATAGGCAGCAGCAGCCTCTAATGTGCTAGTGATGGCTATTTAACAGTCTGATGGCCTTGAGATAGAAGCTGTTTTTCATTCTCTCGGTCCCAGCTTTGATGCACCTGTACTGACCTCGCCTTCTGGATGATAGTGGGGTGAACAGGCAATGGCTCGGGTGGTTGATGTCCTTGATGATCTTTTGGCCTTCCTGTGACATCGGGTGCTGAATGTGTCTTGGAGGGCGGGTAGTTTGTCCCCGGTAATGCGTTCGGCAGACCGCACCACCCTCTGTAGAGCCCTGCGGTTGCGGGCGGTGCAGTTGCCGTACCAGGCGGTGATACAGCCCGACAGGATGCTCTCAATTGTGCATCTGTAAAAGTTTGTGAGGGTTTTAGGTGCTAAGCCGAATTTCTTTAGCCTCCTGGGGTTGAAGAGGCGCTGTTGCGCCTTCTTCACCACACTGTCTGTCTGGACCATTTCAGTTTGTCGGTGATGTGTACGCCAAGGAACTTGAAGCTTTCACCTTCTCCACTGCGGTCCCGTCGATGTGGATAGGGGGGTGCACCCTCTGCTGTTTCCTGAAGTCCACGATCATCTCCTTTGTTTTGTTGATGTTGAGTGAGAGGTTATTTTCCTGGCACCACACTCCCAGAGCCCTCACCTCCTCCCTGTAGGCGGTCTCGTCACTGTTGTGTCGTCTGCAAACTTGATGATTGAGTTGGAGGCGTGCTTGGCCACGCAGTCCTGGGTGAACAGGGAGTACAGGAGGGGGCTGAGTACGCACCCTTGTGGGGCCCCAGTGTTGAGGATCAGCGAAGTGGAGATGTTGTTTCCTACCTTCACCACCTCAGGGCGGCCCGTCAGGAAGTCCACGACCCAGTTGCACAGGGTGGGGTTCAGACCCAGGGCCTCAAGCTTAATGATGAGCTTGGAGGGTACTATGGTGTTGAATGCTAAGCTATAGTCAATGAACAGCATTCTTACATAGGTATTCCTCTTGTCCAGATGGGATAGGGCAGTGTGCAGTGTGATGGCGATTGCATCGTCTGTGGATCTATTGGGGTGGTAAGCAAATTGAAGTGGGTCTAGGGTGACAGGTAAGGTAGAGGTCATATGATCCTTGACTAGTATCTCAAAGCACTTCATGATGACAGAGATGTGCTACAGGGCGATAGTCATTTAGTTCAGTTACCTTTGCTTTCTGGGGTACAGGAACAATGGTGGCCATCTTGAAGCATGTGGGAACAGCAGACTGGGAAAGGGAGAGATTGAATATGTCCATGAACACACCAGCCAGCTGGTCTGCGCATGCTCTGAGGACGCGGCTAGGGATGCCGTCTGGGCCGGCAGCCTTGCGGGGGTTAACATGCTTAAATGTCTTAATCACGTTGGCCATGGAGAAGGAGAGGCCACAGTCCTTGGTAGTGGGCCTCGTCAGTGGCACTATGTTATCCTACTAAGCCCAAACCAGATGGGATGGCGTATCACTGCAGAATGCTTTGGTAGCCATGCTGGTTAAGTGTGCCTTGAATTCTAAATAAATCACAGACAGTGTCATCAGCAAAGCACTCCCACACCATAACACCTCCTCCTCCATGCTTTACGATGAGAAATACACATGCGGAGATCATCTGTTCACCCACACCGCGTCTCTTTTTGGAACCAAAAATCTTCAATTTGGACTCCAGACCAAAGGACAAATTTCCACCGGTCGAATGTCCATTGCTCGTGTTTCTTGGTCCAAGCAAGTCTCTTCTTCTTATTGGTGTCCTTTAGTAGTGGTTTATTTGCAGCAATTCGACTATGAAGGCCTGATTCACACAGTCTCCTCTGAACAGTTGATGTTGAGATGTGTCTATTACTTGAACTCTGTGAAGCAT